ATCTCACTAAAACATAGGTAAAGCACTTGAAGAGATTAAATATTTCTCTGAATGCTAAAAGCAGCTCAAAGGCTTATATTTACATATGGCTGGTATTGTGCAATTTGACCAGAGGGACTTTACCAGGCTCCCAGTGAAGCAACTATTACATAGTCATCTTGTAAAAGAATTTTCCCCTGTGCTCTTGCTCCACCTCCCCCTACAAATATGTCACTTAATAGAACTTACTGCCTTGAGGCTGACAGGAGAAGTTAAAAAGCCTTCATCTTAGTGGACAGATAAGAAAACAGCTGAAAGATATTAGGAAAAAAAAAAAAAGCAAAAAACATTTCAATTCATCTAAGACAGACAGAACCTGAGGACTACAACTTATTGGAAGCCTGAAAAAGCATCCTGAACAGCGTTTTTCAGGAAAGGCATTGGTACAGTGACTCTGCCAGATGGACCAGACAGCCTGTAAGGGTGCCTCTAGCCCTGTTGATCTGTGATCTTGCAATGGAGAGGAGCAAAGACTAGATTAAGCAATCTGTAGAAAAGCTGCAAGAGCGCTTGAGAAGCCTCTAATCTACCTTCCAGTTTATCTTGTTCTTCTCTTTGAGTAAGGAATGTTAATTAAAATATCTTCAAGAATTTGGCCAGCAATAATAAATTTTTTCCAATAGCCAGCCTCAGGCAGTCCACGCAATGAAAACTTCATCTCTTATTTTATGTTGTGCTTTGCATTCTTCATGGATTAAGGTACCTTTCGAGACCACATTTCCATTTCAGTATGTATCATATTTACTTTCCTAATCACTAGCTGAAAGTATTTGATTACCAGTCGTGTGCATGGTAGTCTCACAATAGGGATGCAGAACAGCCTTTTGATCCACTCTGCCAGAAAAATTTGGGGGCTACACAGGAGCAAATAAACACACATCATTTCAAGCATGCAGAGAGGTTCACAGAAAGTGCTCGTGCCACAGAACTTACACCACAGGGCCCCTCTCTTCTCTGCAAGCCCCATCAGCAGGTGTGCCTATGTGAAGATGCTTCCCTGGCTGGGAATCACAGAGGATCTCTCACAGGGACAGGGTTCTGCCATGACTGATATCCAGGAACTTCTCCTCAAGCTGCCGAAAAACTTTGGTCTATACACAGCTGTTCCCACACTTTCACTGCGTGTCACTGTTCATAAACACCAATTAGATTATAAAAGTATATACTGGCAAGGAGAAGAAAGTTCTTTGGGAAAAAAAAAAAAATCACTTTCATTTTGTCTGAATGGGAAGATTTCTAGCAAATCTTTACCTTTTCCTGCCCTGCTCCTTTCCCCTGCAAAATAAAACCATGCAGTCCAAAAAAAAACTTCTGCAAGTAACAATAAAACATCCATCTTTCTCCACTCTTCCCCACTGAAAGCACAACACGTATCTTCCTGTTTGCTCTCCTTGTCCAGGCACGGATACCGATGCAATCTCTTGTCACTAAGAAAGGAAACGTATCTGTCTCAGTCTGCACCTCCATTCCCCTCAGCAGCTTGACTAAGCAGACTGAAAAAAAAAAAGACAAATGCAAACTGAGGAAGCATTAAAGGTATAAGTACAACAGCTGCCAGTTTGATGGGAAAGTAATATGCTGCAACTGCTCAGAAATTAAAATAGGCTGGAAGAAAGCAAGCACGTCAGAGAGGCTGTCGGTGGGTAACTCCCTCACTTTCAGCCCCTACAAAGACAAGTGCTGCAGTTGTGCAAATGCTTCAACACCATCCTAATGCTGTCATCTCCCCAAGCTCTGAGGGAAAACAGAGAGATGACAGCTTCCCCATGGCACCTGTCAGCCCTGCGTTCACTCCTTCCCCACCCAAAAAGAACAGCTGCTAGCTTCTTCCATCACACCTACTGACAAGGTGAAGCTGAGGCTTGGAAATTGCCAGCCTGTGGCAAAGCACAGTAAATCTAAGCAGGAGCCCAATGTTCATTCGGGGATAAAAGGGAACTATCCAGCCAATGAAAATATGCTACAAACAAGAGCAAGCAAAAAAGGAAAATGGTTTGATCACAGTGAAAAAGTGTGTTTTTAAATGGAAAAAAAAAAAAAAAATAGGAAAACAAGAGCAAAATTGACACTTTGAAGGTTTCTTGAAGCTTCCAGAAGATTATTCCAGAAAATGTCACTGTTGCATACAACCAAAGAGTCAATTTTAACTTATTTTCTATTTCTCTCAGTTAACATTCTGAAACTGTACTTGTGTAAGCTACCATTCTCACCTGCTACTATAAAGACCGAGGCAGGCAGTTAAAAAAGAAAAAGCACAATATTTATTGATACTTCTCTTGCTGCCCACATTGATGACTGTTTGGGAGACATTCAACTTTTCCTGCAAAATAAGATACTGCACAACAGGATAAAAAAATTAAAATGTTTTTAAAATATTCCTGGTTATTTGACACAAAAAGAGAATAAATATATACAGATTTAGAAAAGAAAAAGAAAAGATGATATTATGGAAAAAAAACACACAAAAGAGAACAGTGTTAAGTTACGGTGAGGAGCTCTTATGGAAAGAAAACAACACTCCAAAACATTTCTCCTTCAGCTTGCTTCCTTAAGAGCAGAAGTGGGGACACTTCATCAAAGGAAACATGAGCAGCAACAGTTCCTGTTAGAAATGCCCTTAACATACACAGAAAAAGGGTGAAAAAGAAATAGGCAACCAATAAAGCATATTGTAAATTCATTTGAAATGTAAACACCCCCCATGATTTCTCATATACGTTTGCTAAATCTATTTCCTCAGATTTCTTCAACCAAGGTAGTCTAGGGAAAGTAGAGTGGCTCCTGGCATCCTACAAACCCAACACAGCTCCTGGCCACATACAGAAGGCCACAGCAACCCCTTAGAAAACAATCACCAGTTTGTAATCAGCTTTAGCAGATTAAATACTATGGAGGTGCTGAATGAATACTTACAGGTGTGCTGCAGTCAACCATATCTCACTTAAGTTGTTATCAACTTAAATATCACAGGCCACACCTGAAACTATGGCTTATATTTGCATATTGCCTAGTAACGTCACTAACTTGTAAGGACACACACACCAAACTATAGGAAGGACTTCAGCTTCATAAGGCTGATGTTTTTTATCTGCTTTGTAATTCAGAAGAGCTATTTTGTAAGAACAGAGAAGTCAGATTTTAGTAGTAAACCAGATTGAGAGAAGTTTATATCACTGCAAGCTTAGCTAATGCTTTAAATAATACTTTAAAAAGGAAAATAGGAAAAGGTATATTTCCTAGGGCATCAAATGCATGAGCTGCTACATCCAGTCCCCCACCATGCAATTCCTTAGTGACATGATCATCCTTCCCCTTTCTGCAACAAACCCCGAACTGTTTAAAAACACTTTATATCAATTTGCAACAGCATGCTGATAGCAGAATTTGTGAGTTACATCTGCTCAATTTGCCATAGAAATCCATTCTCAGTCTATCTAATGCAGAACACACCTTCTGCATGGCATGGAAAGTTTCTGGGACACGAGAATCTCAGCCACATGGTGAGGTGGCTTGTCATACACTCTGCCAATACCTTGATTTGCAGTGACTGTTTTGTTTTTTGTTTTTGTTTTTTTTTTGCATTCAAGACTCAAGCATTCAAGTTTGAGGCTAAAAAGCCTCCCAGAAATGACTGAACATACATTATTATGTCTATAGCACATTAACTCTACTATTCCATAACAATACAGTTATAATACGAACTACTCTCACATGCACTGTAAACAGTAGAAATGTTTTAGAGAGGAATAGGATTGGGAAGCACAGATCAGTATCTGCTGATCTGGTGCACCCAACTCTGCAGATAGTATAAACTTCATAGTAATTCATGACTTTCTCAAAATCTTGGGAAACTGTGAAAACCTCAGCTTGCTTTTAAAGCGAGGCCATATTTTCAGAAACACTAAATCAGCACAAACCTGTTCTGTACAAACATGAAGCTGTCCTGCTTTGTCACCCCACTCAGCTGCTCATTTCAGCCTCTTTGCCACCCTCCCTTTGTGTGGGTGCAAGCACTGATGTAAATCACACTGAGGAACAAATACATTTTTGCTTGTAGCTATGCTTTATCTACTTGTACTCATACCCTAAACCAGGTTAGCCACAGCTGCACAAGCATCAGCACCAAAGAGGAGAAAAGGAGAGCCATAAATCAAATCCCACTCTTTCAGCAGCTGTACCAGCTTAAAAATGGCTTGTGAAATTAAGGATGATAATTCCAGGTAGAAAAAAAAATGGTGAATTTCTCCCCATTTCACCCTAAAGACAAAAATAATTTGAGAAACAATGATTTCTTTCCCTCTTCCATTTCACTGGGGCATGACTCCAGGTACTTCAGCACAAGGCTTAACATTTGGACCCGCTGGTTCCAGGCGCTTTAGTAGTGCCAACGGTGCTAAGAGGGGAAAGACACTGATCCTGTACCCAAACCTGGCTGTGGGAGATTTGCTCTCAGCTCCACTGGGAATTCAGTTCAAACAGAGAAGAACTGAACTGAAAAACGCCCAGGGTACATAAGCGTACCAAAACCCCATGTTCACACTGAGCACATACCACATAACAAATACACATTTACGTTGCATCAGCAATGGTTGGGCACTTCAAGACTTCTGTATAAAAAATGGAGTGCCACAGACTATCTGACAACAGTGAGCTTAGCTTACATATAAATGCAGTTTAAAGCTTTGTGACTTTTGTTTTGGCTTAATTTTGAAAATCATACCAATGTCTGCAGCTCTTCATCCCAGCTAGCAGCTGCCTGCGAGCATGGCACTATCCTCAAAACAACAGATCCGTTCCACTAGCTCAGTAGCTATGACCTATGCTTCTGGATCCTGACGCACAGCAGACTTCTGAAGCATCAGCATCCTCTCACCAATATGGAAATCATATGTGAAAACTCTTGTTTACTGTATAATATAGACAACAAGGAGAAAGCTGCATAGCGAGGCATTTTCACTTACGTGGTTTATATAGAGACTCTTGCGTTTTTCTCTCACTGCAAAAACACAAAATATGATAGAAATATTACATGACTATTTTTCCTGATTATGCTTCTTACATACCATTTACAATAAAAAGAACAGGAGGCTATCTACGTATGACATTGTCATTGCTCTTGCACTAACCACATATACTTATATATCAAGTACAAAATAAACACGTATTTGTATGTTTAAAGGCATTTACGCTCACCAGTGTGGTGATGGATTGAAATTCTCATCCATTTGGGTATTCACTAGGCATTGGTACACATGGGAAGGTTAACAGCAGTAAGCTATGGTTCAAGTCAGCCATCCTTCACCAGAGATCTCTGCAGGTACTCTGTGTCATGAGTACCTTCGTGCAAGGTACCTTGCTGCACAGTGACCTATGCTATCTTGCAGTCATGAAAGCACCTAAACAGCTACCCCATGGAGTTAGCAAATTCTCATTGAAACTTACTGTGCACTAACTCCCATCAAACTGCTTTGAAAACATATATGCATCATCCCACTGCCTTCTCTAGTGCTAAGGTGCAAATCTGAACCTATTACTCAGGTCAGATGTAACAATGAAAGTTGGTGAGTAGGACTAGTCATCACAAGCAAGGGTTGCAAGTCAAGACCAGAGCGAGCAGCCAAAATACTCAGTAAACAGCAGCAATAAGGGAGACATGTATATTCTTAAATGTCAGGCAAATTTTTATTACAGTTGATGAAATATAATATATTTAAATTTTTCAGCACTTTCCCAATTAACTCACCCCATAGAGCCTGTGGAGTTCCCTTCCCATGAAAATACCAAAGCATTTAGGATACGAGTCTGGAGGCAACTAATACATAAATCAAACCGCAGGATTAAAGTAATAATGGTTTCATGCTGTAGATGATTAAATGCACTTTGGTGCACTATGATTTGAAAGCTATGCAACCCAATGCACTTAGCAAAATAAGAGTGTTTGCAATGGTGGGATAGCCTGTCCATTCCCTGTTGGATGAGAAGCCATTACTTGTGATTCATTTATTTTTCAAAAGCAAGCAATCTAACATAAACAAGGCTGTACGTGTGGATACTGTGAAAAAATTGCTTAATGCAGACATAAAACAAAAATAAAGTAAGAAAATACTTTAAAAAATCCTTACATAATTTTCCTCCCAGGGAGCAGAAAGGAGAATCACACATGACAGATGTTAGCCATGTCACTTAGTACATGCTCAGATCCACAGTTATGGACATTGTATAGAAGACAGAATAAAACAGGAACAGCAGGAGAGTTCAGGTTGTCGAGCAAATAGTTAAACTGCTTGAAATCCTGCTAAAACACTGCACTACACTTAAGTTCCATACACTGCATTTACAACCAGCAAAAGACATAAGTAATCTAAAGGGAAACACAAAATGATAGTAGGTACTTCTAAGAATAAAGAAAGTATTTGTCAAGCATTGCATATTGCAATATACAGGCAGTAAGCAGTTCTGATAAGTTGCATGTAAACCTAATAGAGGTTCACCAATAAATGAAAATTAACATCTATTAACTGTGACATTTCAAACACAGTTAAATATTTAACTGACAACAGTCACAATTACTCCTCAAACAGAATTACTATGGACAAAATCCAACAAACACAGTCTGCACATAAACTCCAAATCTCATTTTTAAACACTTTTCTCTGTCTCAGACTTTATCTTCTGTATTTTCCCTTGTACCCATTACACCACTCCATTCCCCATAAAAGTACTATTATTTACCAAAGCAAGAATATCACTTACAGCTCTTATTGCTATTTCCAATCTCCAGAAAAATATACTAGTGTATTTATACACCTTTCACTTTGGCCTGTTCAAACATCAATTTGTGCCACACAGTTTTCCAAGCACACCTTGACTCTCTTCCCCTTCTTTTCCGCATATAATAGAAATTTCATTAGCTTTCATTGTCCAGTGAGGGACTACAAGAAAGCAGCTGTGCCTTCATGCTTTTGGATCATTCTACTACAGCCTGAGGCTCAACTCTTACCAGAACATACGTCAATGGGAAATGCAGCATGGTAGATGCTCTCTTTTGTGCTCACAACCCTCCCTTTAGACAAAGAATTGACAGTTACTGCAAGAAGCAGAAAGCTTTTCTGCCAGTCTTATACTAGAACTGTTGTAAAGAGATAAATCTCTGCTCTTTGGCTCCAGTGAGCTTAGAGATGTTTTGCAGTGCTCACATGGCACGGTATGAACAGATTTATAATCACAGGTTAAACAAGTGAATGAAGAAACTTGTATTTTCTAACATATTTAACACGTAAAAATTGGATTGGAATTCTTCAAGTCAAGACTGATATCTGAGATGCTGCCAATGTTCTTAATTTTCCTCATTTCCTATTTCTTCAGGCACTTTCTATTGTTATTCTTTAACTTTTGCTAGAGTAGGAAAACACATTATCTGGGAATAAAAAGGAGTGAGGAAATACACACATATGCATATATACGTATGCATGTGAGTAAGCAAGTATGCATTATTCATTGAGCTGTAACATAAATCTCATTTGTGTAATTTCTATAGGAAACCTTAATGTTACCCATATCAGCAAGGACAAAATCATTGAGGATTACATCAATAAAGATATCTCATATTTTGTTTGCAGATCATTTCATTTTGTCTTGTCTGAGAAACGGGAAACTCATCCTAGTTACCAATAAAAATAAAACACACCCTAATTTACATCTATCCAAAATTAAATAAATATGGTTTCAAAACGTGCTTTGTCTAAAGCCAATTGTTACATTAGCATTGCAAAAAATTTAGCCAATGAACTCCACATGTAAAACTTAATGTAAGTTAGGAAAAGAGGAGAGCTGTAACCCACTTGTAGTTAAGATCATTACCAGCACCCTGAAAGAGCAACAATTGTTCTCTTGCTATTCTAAGGAAAGGAAGTTATGCTATTGTAGCACTAAGGCTTGGAAACCCTAGCTTAACCACCACCAGGTGCTGAATAGTGCAGGGCTTTTTAGTCACCTAGCTAATCCTTTTACAGGCCAAATTCACCAAGCAAGAACTGGCATAAGGCACTCAAAGAAGATAAAGATATGAAAGGTGAAATCCACTTCTGTCTCCCCATACAGGGAGAACCTCTCATGTAATACTTAGCACCTAGAGTATCCCCATAAATCCTTGGAAATATTTAGAAACGCTATTTTAGTTACGTATCAAATAAATATCTATTGTCTCTTCAATTTTTTCTTTGGAGTTATTGAACTCTCAGGTAATTAAGGGTAAACTACTGACTATGAGAGACAGTACAGATCTCGATGCTTAGTTTGGTATTTAAGTCACGCAGAACAATGGGAAATTCAGAACATGTAACATCCAAAGATGCTACTCCCTGTTTCATTATATTTACTGTAGTTAGCTTGTTGCTCTTCACTTACATGTTGCTCACCAACAGCTCAAAAGAGCAGCTCCTTTGCTAAGACTACAAGATCACGACTGAGGCTGTAAGAGCACAGCATTACTAGAAAGCCAGACATGGGTTACTGGAAAGCCAGATGTGCAGCTGCCTGAAGGTAACGCTGCCAAGTCACTTTTCCATGTAGTTATGGACTTGGCCCTTTCCCACTATACAAATACATAATCAACACTACCCAGCCACAGCCAGATCCTGGAGAAAACCTGAAGTCCAAATATCTCTCAGTTCTCTAAAATATAAATTTTAAATGCCTTTAGTTCTTGATGATAGAAATATTTTTATTTATAGTTAACTACAGGAAGGTTTGTCAACCCAACACTATATAATAATTTGCAAGTGTAGCCACATGCCCCAACGAGGTGCTTTCAGCATTGCCGGTGCAGCTCTCCCCTTCTACACTGACTTTAGACCTAGGAGATCTCTTTGGCTGCACAGCAGGCTGCCAGAATACAATGTTACATACCTCAAAAAAAAAAAAAAAAAAAAAAAAAAAAAAAAAAAAAAAAAAGAAGAAAAAAAAGAAGAAAAACCTTATATTTTCCCCTTAACAAGCATTCTAATGCATTTGGCATTAGGCAATATCCCTGAACAGTATTAAAACTCTTAACAGCTCTCTTATTGCCACAACAGGCCCAGAGTACAGCAAAATGCCTATGATGGTGTGTTGTCCCACCAGAATGGGATGGTTCTTACCAATACATCAGTAGATAAACGTTCACAGAATCTTATTTCTTTTGTACAAGCCTTTGGATTTTTAGCACTAAGATCAAGAATAGCTGAACAGATCTTAAAACTTTGTTTTAAAAGTTTATATAAATTCACTGTTCTCATTCAAAAAATTATGTAGAGTTCTTTGTATTACATACACTAGAATGAGGTTTCATACACCAACTCTAGCATAGATATAAACCATACGTGTTCAACCCACTGGTTTTATGGTTTTGTTGCCCTCATTTTTTAATGTTTAAATGAAACATATTTATAAAAACAAGATGTTTTGTTACTTATATACATTAACCATATTCTATATGTTATATAGAATATATGCCCAAGACAATTCCTCTTCAATTAATGTGGCACAGGGAAGGCAAAAGGTTGGACACTCTTGGTGTAAAAAGTCATTTAAAAATTTGTACAGTTAATTCTGTACTGCAATAAATTAATCATTATAATTGCAACGAAGAGTCATCATCAAGTGATCAAAATTTCATTTGATGGAATTGAACTTTTGTCTTTTTCTTCTCCCAACAAAATGTAATGAGAAACATGTAGCAACCACATGTGACTGCACAGTCTCAAAACATTGTAAAAATAAACATCAGTCTTGACAACACACCAATTACCAAACCGACCAGGATGGCACATCACATCAAAAAACACACAGTAAGTCACTGACAAAATCAGAGTTGAATTCTGGACAATGTGAAGGGCAAAAGAAGTACTCAAGTAATCAACTCTTCAATCAGAACCTAAATGCATTCTCTTTGTACTAGTCAAGCTCAAAAATTAGCACAAAATATATGGCAAGTGAAAACTACTCTTTTTTTCTAAGTGATGTGCTGTAATTTACTATGTAAATCAAAAATGGCATTTATAGGCAACAGAAAGAAGGACAAAGAATTCATACAGTCAGAATTACACTGTAGAAAATGCTCTGAAAGTCTTGGTAGAAAATAATGCCTTTTTCATCAATTATTTTCATCTACTTCTAAAACAACATGTCATAAATGTCCAGCAGGGAATGAAAGTGCCAGAGTAAATGGCTTCTATTCTAGGTCTATCAAGAAGCCTGCTTAATAGATGTAATTCCAGAGCAATCATCTTGTCTACAAATTAAAAAAACAAAAAACTGCAGACAAATATATGATTAATTCAAATCCCTGAGAGAAAAAGATAGAACGTTTGAGTGGGATGCGGGTTGTTTTGTTATTAAAATCTAGAACTGAACTCACCTACATATCAGCTATATCAGAGGAAACTCTGGACTGTCTTCTTAGCTAAGGTACACAAGCTTTTTTTCAGTAAAATGCTAAAAAATTGTATTTCTCAGAACCTTAGCCTTCTGTTCAGACAAACAAACAAAACAAACAAACAAAAAACATGGTTGCACAGAAAATTTTGCACTTAGGGAAAATATTTTTGATTATAATTATATTCAACTTTATCCATGACAAATTGGAACTTACAATTTCAACATGACCTTCTACTACCAACTCTGACAAAATAATCATTAATTTGGTTTCCTTCAATTCTAATACAATGCTTATTAAAGCCTCTTTTTTAGAGGGAGGGAAATTATTTATCCAGTAGCTATCACATGCATTCTAACAAAGAGGTAACTGCAATAGTAAGTACAGCAATAAGTTGAGTAACCTACCATCTGTTTGAGATTTACTGAGAAATATCGTACTGGCCCGTGGATGGTCTGATGGATTGAATTCCATGTTCAAATCTGGAAAGAAGCAAACAAAAAATAGCATGTTAAACATTTAAGATTATCCAGCAGCTTACACAGATTTTCTTATTTTTTTTAATAAGACCAAGTTTACACACTTAAGCAACTACTGTAAAACAAAATCAATCTTGAGAAATCACTTCCTTTTTTTTTTTTTTTTTAACCCTTTTTCACACCATTAGTTGTTTTGGCATGCAAATTGTTTGCATCAACACAGCTTTGGGATTAGTCTTTCAATGTGTTAATTTGTTTTTGGATAAAAACAGATAAAGCAGCTTTAGGAGTCTGTACATAACAAGTCAGGAACTATCCATTTTCCATTAGTTTCTTCCTCCATACCCTGAAGTCATTGCTAAGCAGAGGAACACTGCTTGTTATATGTAATTGTAGAAGAAAGAAGTATTCTAAAGTAAATATTCATCCTTCTGTAGATAGATAGGTTTCCATAATTAGATGTGATTAAATAAGCAGTTGTTGAAGCTGAAGGTAAACAAGTTACATCTAGGCCAGGCTATTTTAAACAATCAAGATTACAAAAGTTTAGCATTTTCTGATACTTCACATGAACATAATTCTTTCTGTGATGTAAAAAAAAAAAAAAAAAAAAAACAGTTATCAAAAACGTTTACTGAGGATTTAAGTCTGTCACAGCATATGTGAATTTCCAGAAAAATTTCTTTCCCTAGCAAGATTAAAACGCCTTCAATTTTCTTGTTCCCAAATTCCACGCTACTTCTAATTCTTTGAAACTCCTTATGCCTGCATTCACTTGAAAGCATGCTGCTAAAAACAGCACGTGATTTTTTTTAATCATTTTTCTTGCACTCCCCATGTGACTACAACAACATAAATTCTCCTCTATTCTCCTGATCTCTACATATACATTTGTTTCCACTTGAAGACGCTTTTATGCAACACTACATATGAGCATTGATAAGTTTGTCTTTGATAACTAACTCAGCCTTTCTAAATTTCTCGCTCCCCTCTCTTTCTGTGAAGAACTGAGAATTAAGCCTCAGGTCTTACAAAAATAACAACAAAAGAAATATTTCTGCCCAAGGGCCAAGTTCTCCCATCTGCAACTTTGTCTCTTCTTTCACCATCCATCACCATGCTCCATTTTTCATTCCCCTTCCATTTATAATTCCTGAGCAAAGCCAGAGACATCAACTGTTCCTCATATGTCGTGTGCTCTAGACCCTTTATCTTTCACCACTGCCCTGTTGCTGCCTGACATGCTGCTGGTATTTGGAGAACACTTCTGGGGCAAGTAATACACCTCCTACTTACTAGGAAGAAATCAGGAATATAAATGAACAATTCTTCAGTTAGAAAGGAATCTTATTACTGTTATCCAAGCCACCAATGAAAAATACAACAACATTTCCAGAAAAAGTCATTTTCATTCTCTGAGAAAGCACAATTGCTAGCCAAGCCTAGAGGAGATCTTAGGTAGGTCACCTTACCACTGGAAGGTGGAAAGGAGTGTCAAAGAGAAAGAACATTTTCTTATTATTTTCTGCATCTTATTTAGATGTGGGGAAGAATAAAAATTACCCATTGTGATAGACAGTGCTACTGAACACTGCTTTTCATTTGGGGATATTTTTTTCCATTAAACTGAATTCGAGATGTAAATCATTAAATAAAGAATAATCATAATCAGTGTTTTAAAACGGCAAAATACATTGCCTTTTATCATCCTCTTCATTTTTAACAGACAGCACAATACATCATCATAAAGTGCATTTAAAAACAAAAAACACTGCAGACAGTTCTTCTGTAAAATCTTTTAAAGTACAGCAAAGCAATTTCAGCTAACAAAAGAGGACTGATAAAATGCAACTGAACTCAACTGTCAAAACACTGTCCCCAAAGCAATGAGCATTCCTTTTCTTCATGCCTAGAAAATTGTCTGCATGGGGAATAATAGCAGCCTGGTACAGGCTTACAGTCTGCTTGTGGGGCTGAAAAGAAAGGAAACCAATTGCCACATCTTGCAGTTAAATCGCAACTATTTCAGATGCCTGTGTTGTAAAAGACTATTATGCAGAAGAAGTGGAACAATGGAGGACTTGAAGTCTTTCTAAAAAAGCACAAGCTGTTTTCTGGCAGGAGTTGAAAGAAGGCTAGCAAGATCCAAACTCAGCAGCTGCAGAGGCCAGAGCATGGATTAATAAGTGGCCTGGGTGAAGCAGCTGCCTGGGCTCCTTTCCACCCCACCTCCCCTAGACTATATGCTCCTCAAAGTATACGTCCTCTTCTGTCAGCACCCCTTCTGCCATCCTCTCCCTCCAATCAGCAGCCAAACATGTCCTGTTTGTCTCTTTTTTTCAGACTGCCATCACCAAAATTAGAAGTGAATGGCATGGGTAGGTGAGCAGCAAGGCCTGTCAGGGCTGGTCATCCAGCACAAGGTGACCCTCAGAGGACAAGCACTGCTAAGAGTCCCCTCTCCCTGTGAGGAACAGCACAGCACTTATTCCTAGGTTTCTGCAGGCAGAAGAAAGCAGGCTGTGAGGTGTATGCCTGCAACCTCATCATTCCTCGTTCCTTCCAGAAAAACATGAGGTAAATCCAAGTGCTCTATAGGCACTGGTAGGACCACATCACTCCAAGCCACTGCAGCTTCCGTATGGGGAGATTAAAAGAGATATGGTTTCACAAGACACAAGGAAGATATCAGTTTCTAGAGACTGAAATTTACTGTACAGTTTGGAAATAAATGCCCTTTTCGATCCGGGAACGAATTCTTATATGTCTGCAATTAGAAATAGTGCTATAAGAGGAAAGAGATCAAAGATTACACACAGATCTGAAGTTACTAACTCATTGCCTAAGGGCATTAACCATCAAGAAGCTACCTCCATCCCACAGTCATATTGCTTTAGTGATACCAGTTGTACTTTCTAGCATCTGAAAATTAAAACAGTCAAAATATGAATGCTTTACTCACTTTGTAATGGAATAACTGATGTTAAAAAGAGATATAAACTCACACAGACAGTATTCAACTGTTAGAGAGGAAAGTGAGAGCCAGAATTTCAATTATTGAAATGTGTACAAAAATTTTATCCATTACCAGCAGTCTGTTCTATGACTCATCATAGCTTGCAAAGGAAGGATTTCAAGTGGATATTTTTCAAGCAGTTACCCTGCACTTCAAAATGCGCTAAGAAAAAAAAAAAAGATCTCAAAGATGGTCCAAACTTTAGATTATTTTTTTTTTCCAAGAGAATACTGGTTTGTGATTAAGAGACATATTGTTTAATTACAGATCCTTTGGGTTCAGATTTTCTGTGGGGTTTTACTAATTAAAAAATGACAGGACAAGTAACAATTGACACAACAATTTATAGAGCAAGGCAGTGTCTTAAAAGAATTTATTGTTGTAATAGTTACCATCAATAATAAATACAAAGATAATAAAATATTAATGTTTATTCTATTAAAGTGATATCTAAGTGTAGATATATGATATGAAAGTGGTAAAACATTGGCAAAGGCTTTACCAATGATAACATATATTTCCATAAGTTGCTTAAGTAAAGCTAATTAAATCTGGAAAAAATGTTAGGAATAAAAACACATTCTTTTCCCTTTAAACACCTGTTCTGAATACTGAAGTCACTGAAGATCAGAATAAGAAGTTATCTGCATGCCAGAACATTCCTGAAACCTACTCAACCGAACAGCATGTTTTTACCTGCAGGGGATACCTCATCATTTTGGAGTATTTTGCTCCTGCAAAATACAGGAAATCCACAAATAAAACAACTACTCTTGACTACCAATAAAGTAAAATCAGATAGGTTCTACTCTTGCAAAACATAAACCACTTTTACAGTACAAATTACAGCTCAGATCTCTCATCTAAGATTCCTAGAACTTCATGATTAGTCAAGCCTGGAGCATTACACCACTTCACAATAATTGAATTCTGAAGCATGCTATGCAGTGAAATGTTAAATAGATGGGAAATATTTTTCAAGATTCTTCAAAGTTCAAAGATCAATCTGGATTTTATTAATTTATTCTTCCAGCTCTAAAGGACTATTAAGTTATGCAAAATACAGTTCCCATACAGCAAATGAAATTTTGAGGTTTTTTGTATTCTCAGGATTATAAACGAAAGATGCATGTCAATATATACATGTATCTATACACATATACACATGCATGTACCCTTATCACTAATAGAAATAAAGATGTCTGCATAGATACATATATATATCTATAAAAATACATGCTTATTTTATATATATTGTCATTTACATGAAAATGCATACAAAATGTCTTTATGATATATATTTAAATCATACCTAATTTTGATTAGCCAAATAAAAGTCAGACTCAGGAGCACTTTAGCTATGTGATCACATGCCTAAAAGCAATTTGCACAATGTCTGAGTATTTGGGCAAGACAAGAGTTACAAATACATACAAAAAACTTAAGACTGCATTCTCTTTCTCATTTAGTATCATGCCAAAATAACACTTCTTGCTTCCTGACTTATTACATCAAATAAATTCTCAATCTCTCCAAGAATAAAAGGTAGATTTTGACTATAACTCAATCTGAAGCTTAAGACAATAATGAGAAGGCCACAATGAGATTCTCACTGGGCACTGTGAGAAACTTCATCCCTGAAGCCACAGTAGCTGCATTCAAATATGGCCATAAAAAGAAGTGAACTGTAAAACAGTTCAGTTTCAGAACTGGACTAAAGCCCAGGCAAGATTTTTTTTCTTATCCATACACAGGGTCCTAAAGAGCATTACTGAAATGACAAACACTGGATACAGCTTCAGTTTGCACATTTTAAAAGGATAAGGAAAAATTTCAGATGAGTCCAGAAGAGACCTGCAAAAATGACTGGTAGAAAATGCCATAAAATAAGAGCCTTACAGAGTTCAAGCTGTTTAGCTGATCAAAGAGGAAATCCAGGAATTTTCTGCAGCTCACAGGTACCTCCACAGGGGGAGAATAAGTACTG